TCTTATGTTCCACAATATCCTGGGAGGCAATCAACAACGAAGCCAGGTTGACGTCTTTACCTTCCAGGATATCCCTTTTAATGTGCTCAGGTATCATGTGGGCCGGGCTAACTTCCTGGTCATCCAGGGTGATGGCTGGAGTGACTAATGGCAAGGCTGGTGTTTGTACTGCAGCAGCGGGTGGCCCTGCTAGAGTGAGGGCCGTCGTGACCGACTCAAGTTTCTCCAGCCTGGAGTTGACCTTGCTCATGGATGCCATGAGTGAGGATAACATGGCATGTATGTCCCCTGGGTTGGACTGGCTAGATCCTTCCCCGGCATCCATGTTATTAGTCGATGTGCGTAGCAGTTTGAAAAGTTCTGCCTTCCTTGCTGTAGCGGGGTAGGGGATTTGTCGTCTCCTTAATTCCATGGTTATACGCGGGATCGTCCAGGATCTGATTGATGCTGGACTAGCTAGCTCTCCTCCTTGTGTGGGAGTGACAGCTCTAGCCGGGGTGCTAGGCAGGGAGAAATCCTCTACCCCTTCCTGAGACATACTATAAATAAAACAATTAATTAGTATATAGAACCACCAAATTGTACTGGCAGGCTAGCTAGGCCGGATGGCGAAAGTATTATACTTGTTTGGTGACAGGTGAGGCCCTGCTAATTGCCAAGCGGCTTGAGAGGCTCTATCTATGCGTTGGCGCGAGGGGTTATTGAGGCCACTTGACGTAGTGGCAGGAGTTTTAGGCCTCTCGGTGACTGTACGACAGAAAACAGGGGAAGGGAGTGACAGGTGAGGCCCTCTCTATGCAACATGCGAGGCGGCTAGCTAACGTGTGGCCCGATGGGTGTTTGCCTCTGGAACGTTTGAGGTAAATCCCCATCTTTCGTAGACCTAACATAATACTTTGCCAGATGGGTATCTATCATTTCCCCATCCCTGCAGGGTCGTACTTAGCCCTGAGCAGTGTTTGTATGTTTGACCGTAAGCATGTTTTGAATGGAGTATGTGTGTGTGAATGTAGCGGTGTATTTGTGTGTAATGTTTGCCTTTGAATGTAGGGGTGTGTCTGTATGTAGTGTTGATATTTGAATGCAGGGGAGTATTTGCTTGTACTGATACACTGGTGCGGACTAAAAGATATATACACACACCAACACATATACAGAAACACAGACTCACACACTGACATGCAAATTTACAGACACACTCTAACAAACATACAGACAGACACACTAACACACATGCAGATGCACAAACACACTAATACAGATACACAGACACACACAAACACACACACTAACACACATGCAGATACACAGGCAAACACTAAAACACACACTAACATACATAAAGATATACACACACTAACATACATACAGATACACAGGCACACACTAACACACATACACGCACACACACTAACATACATACAGTTATACACACACTAACATACATACAGATATACACACACTAACATATATACAGATACACAGGCACACACTAACACACACACACACACTAACATACATACATACAGTTATACACACACTAACATACATACAGATATATACACACTAACATACATACAGATACAGAGGCACAGACTAACACACACACATTAACATACATACAGATATACACAAACTAACATACATACATATTTACAGACACACACTAACATACATGCATATACACAGACACACACTAACACACACTAACATACATACAGATACAAAGACACACACTAACATACAAGCAGATACACAGACACACACTAACACATACACACTAACATACATACAGATATACACAAACTAACATACATACAAATATACACACACTAACATACATACAGATACACAGACACACACTAATACATATAGATAACATGCACACACAGATCACATTACATATTTTAACCAGCCCCCAGCTTACATAACTTTTTGGTTCAGGAGGGTGGCTTCCCTGGTGTCAGGTGGCATCTGGCTGAGTGTGATGGGAGTCTGGCTCTCTCCTCAGGCCCTGCCTCTTAATCTCCCTCCTCTCTCGGCCTGTTGGTAAGCAGGGAGGGGGAAATTCCCTGTATCACAGCATTACATAGTGAAGGAGCCACGTTGCTTGACGGGGCTCCTGATCATTGAAGCTGAAGCATTCTCTTCAATAGCGGGTGGCCCAAGCAGATGGCGCACGTCGATACCATATAACATGTACAGGTTTTATGGTGTTTTAAAAAATGACATAGTCAAATATAATGCTGCCAGATTGGTTACGTTGCCTTTGAGACCGTATGGTAGCCCAGGAATGAAAATCACCCCCATGATGGCACACCATTTGCAATAGTAGACAACCCAAGGTATTGCAAATTGGGTATGTCCAGTCTTTTTTAGTAAGCTCTTAGTCACAAACACTGGCCAAAATTGGCGTTCAAATTAGTTGTTTGCATTTTTCATTCGCAAACAAATAGTAACACTAACTTTAGCCAGTGTTTGTGACCAAGTGGCTTGATCCAGTATTATCAAAAATATTAGAAAAATGCGTACATATGCAACTATTTGAGTATTACCAACATATAAACTATCTAAACCCCTAATCAATCAGGCTTTCGCCTGAATCACTTAACTAAAACTGCCCTCTTCAAAAGTTTGCAATGACATCCAGATGGCATGGAACAAGGAGACCTATCTGGAGCTATTTTCCTTGATTTTGCTAAGGCATTTGACACAGTAGACCATGACATTCTACTGCAAAAAAAAAAAAAAATCATGTATTGGTGATCGTTCGCTAACCAGGTTTTGATCATATGTATCGAACTGATCACAATACATGTCCATTTCGAACAGTGACTCCTTCCTACTCCCACTCACGTTTGGGGTTCCCCAAGGTTCCAATCTCAGCCCCCTACTATTCACATTATTTATAAATGATCTCCCTAACGTCTGCAAATCCTCAAATGTACACATGTATGCAGATGACACAGTAATCTATGCAAGCAAACCCGATTTACCGCAGTTGGAGGCTGTGCTCCAAGACCAGTTTACAGAGGTAGAAAAGTGGATCACAAAAAACAAACTCTTCCTAAACACTGACAAAACTGTCACAATGATCTTTGGCACAGTACCTAAATTACACAAATTACACAATTCCCACCTATCCATTAAAATAAAATCAAATAGCACACTGACTGCAGTCCACTCTTTCAAATACTTGGGTATGTTGTTAGACCCCGATCTATCTTTTGGCCTCCACATAGAAAAACTTGCATCAAAACTTTATCCAAAACTATGTGCCCTGTACAGATAAAAATCCTGCCTAAACCCTACAGTAAAAGGGTGCTGATGACAATCATTGGTTTTGGGGATGTAGTATGTGCACCTGCATCGCAAATTTACCTTAATAAGCTTAATACATTGTATAACTCGTTCTGCCTCTTTATGCTACAATGTAATTACAGGAACCACCATTGTGACATGCTAAAAGAACTAAACTGGCTGTCGCTGGAATCCAGACGCACCCTTCATCTATCCAGCCTTGTATTTAAGAGCTTTTTTGGGAAACTCACACCCTACCTGAGCAGAATACTCTTCCCGGCTGTTCCCACCTCCTATAACCTCTGATCCAGTACCAGCACTTTATTTATTCTACCTCAATACAAAAAGAAAGTGTCTCGATCCTCATTTTCCAACAGAGCACCGCAATTATGGAATGACCTCCCACACACTTTCACATTTTCCCCAAGCCTATAATCTTTTAAGAGAACCATCTCTACATATCTCAAAACAGAATGCACATGTCATGTTTAATTATATATTTCCTACCTGTTCTATGATACATTTTGTATATATTGCGTATTAATATTGTTTTTGCATTTTATTGTACCCTATTGTATCAATGCAATGTTTTGTGGACCCAGGACATACTTGAAAATGAGAGAGATCTCAATGTATCCTTCCTGGTAAAATATTTTATAAATGAATAAATAATTCCAGGTACATACATGTTAAACTTACAAACTTCATTATTAATTATCAATATTAATGATCAATAATCAAAGTAATGAACACAATTATATAAATCCACTCAGAGTACATATTGCGACAGCTAGTATTATAATTTAAAGTCCTTAATCTTGCACCATATAAAGTTTTCTTCACGAAATTTAGGATTCCTAGATGTCATTCAGTTAACAAAGAAATGATGACTTAAGGTTAAAATGGTGCATCCCGTCATGTGATGCATGCAAATGGTTATTTAAATGTGACATCATCAAAACTGAAAACGGAGATGGATGTATCCTAGTTCCAGGTGGCGAGTGGTTTCTGCTGTGCTGGGACCTCTGTTCTCTTCTTGCACAGGTCCCTCGGGCACCCAGCAGTAATGCCGATGCAGTGATGATGTCATATTCCTTTGGCCGGCTCATTGTAGGGTGTGGTTTGAACCCCCTCGATGTAGAAGTACCCTGTCTGATTCTAGCAAGTGGATTGTGAATCTATTTATGATGTAGTGCCTTTTTTTCTTTTTTCTATAAAGTTAATTTGAATGCTACTCAAGTGCTTTCACCAAGCATAATTAACAGGTAACAGGTAAAAACATGCTGAAATTAACATACATTTAGAAACAAAGGGTGCTGTAAACTCAACACAAAATTGCACACAAAGAGAAGAGATGTAAACTTCATTCAGATTGCAGTAAACATTAAAAAAATTGGGATGGGAAATTAAAAGTGGGATTAATATAAAATCTGCAGTGGTAAATCTGAAGAATAAACACAATCAGGTGCAAAAGTTTAAATTTGCATATGCTAAATTCTTCTCTTTCTTGATTGTAGAATATATCACAATAGATTTAAAAAGGCAATTCATTATCCCATACCTTTATTTTTATAATTTACTACATAAAAGCAATGCAACAACTATGTTAAGAAAACTAATTTGCTTTATCCAGTTTGAGCTAAAACTATCTGGTTTTGACAGCACAAGCAAAAAAAACATGATGATAATATACAACATCACTGCGTATTTTGCTTTCCATCACTTCCATTCGTTCAATAGAAAAACCACAATCTTTCAGAATTATTCTTAGTTCCTCTTCACTAAAATTAAGAATATGATATTTGTGCCCGCTAACCTTATAATATGATGCATTAAACCCCCCAATCAATAAAAGATGTCCTCCTAATTTAAGCATAGATGATATTGTCATTAGATTATGACGGTAACTGTCCAGGTCCTTTGAAACGCCACCCAGCACATACAAGTCAATCACACAATCTGCTTTTGGCAACACGACAGGGTTGGTTGGGTTTTCTTTGGTAAAATCACACGGCAAAATGGCTTTAATACATCTTCTTAGATCATCTTCTTTCTCTACCCACTTTTCACTGTAAAATATAACACAACTTTACGGCATGTGATGAAAATGTATGTAAAACTTGTCAAAAGAAAGTAAATATTCCACAATTGCAGTCGATACATATGTCTGAGTAAAATCAAATAATATAATAAAGGATAAAATATCAAAATGTTGTAGTGTATAAAGAAAATATCAAAATGATTTAATTTCCCTTTTATAAAACACTATACCAATTAATAGTGAAATTTTGTGGAATTGTATTTCAATTCCACTAATTGTGTTATCATTCCACTAATTTTATTATAATTGTGTTATCATTCCACTAATTTTACAACATGACAAGAGGCTTCATATTTTGCAAAAAAAAAAACAGCCAATCAGAAACAAGCTGAGAGTGTATATATAAGGCCCTCGCAGCTCAAACACCTCCTCTTTCTTTGCTCTTTGTTGCGCCTGCTGTGCCCAGGTCAGACTATTTTGTTCTTTTGTGACTTATTAAGTGTTCTTGCATAGCAAGACCACTTAATGTTATCTCACATATATATTATTCTTATTCTTATTATAGCCAAATTTACCACCCTAACTCCTCCCACAGTTTTTACACTACATAGACAGTTATATACCGAAACGTGCAAATTGTTCCCGATTTGATTGCTATTACTTTGTGGAACGTTTCGCCGAATGGTTCACAGAATATCGTCATTCTTGTGGCGAAATTGGTCCCATAGGAATGAATGGCGAAATGTTCAAAACTAGAATGGGAGCTGGCAAAAGCTGAAAAATCAGGACATGATTTCTAAACTGCCGCCACTCCCTCATTTTCAAGCCTACCCACACAAATCTTATATCAAAATGTTCTGCTATCCCTGCTGCCACTAAACATGTAAACGGCTAAGCCGTAGTCCTGATAGTTTTCACAATATGACCATTTGTTTGCAACTCACGCCGTCCATTGACATTCATTGAAACTCCACTGTAGCCACTTCAAATTTGAAGGGCAATTTCTAAACTGCGACTGTGCCTTCATTTTTAATACTTCAGAGACATACTATGCATCAAAATGTTGGTCTGGGTCTTGTGATTCTCACAATATAAAGCTTATTATAGTTTTTAAAATAACACCATTTGAAGATGGCAACCGCGAAAATACTCTGACCTGTGCCAAGTGATGTCATAGATAGGGCCTTTTGTACACCTGCTAATGTTTTTATAAATGTATGTTTTAATGTAACCTTGAAGCACTTTGGGCATCAACGTTGCAATTAAATGTGCTATATAACAGTTACTCCGCCCACTCCAATTGTAGACTACTGGTGGAGGCAAGAATACTTCACACAATTGTTACAAAAGACTGGAAATGACTATGTTACTGTTTAAAAACCGATTGATACTGTTGCCACTGTATATGTTTAAGCCGAAGGAAACACGAATGGATTACTCGAACCCTTATAAAGACTGCATTCGTGGTACGAACGAGGGACCCCCCAGATGCTGCGTGTGCCGCCACTTAACCTCGTCACCCCGCAAACTACCGAACGGTCGACCACCCGACCAGCGGCGTGTGGCAGCCATTAACCACCAAGGCGGCTGCGGTTTGCGGTTAACCACAACCTAATAGATAGGCCTGGGGGAATCGACGTTCGCACCCAAAGTACCGAAGGGAATCTACCGAACCATCAACCGAACGGCAACCCCCTACAGCGGGTTGCGTGGCGATCATTAACCTGTGGTTTCTGCAGTTAACCGCAGGTCAAGTACCCTTCTACCAGGTGGTCCTCGTTCATGTACCGAACGAGTTCCACTACCTGACAGACAGCGGGGCTTCGCATTAATTGATACCCGAGTTTAGTTCCATGAGTTAGAAGCTGCCCGCTAAACCGTCAGAAAACATGGCCGCCAACAGAGACTCACAATCCAAAGTGCTGAATGGACTTTATTCGGCAGAAATAGCCCATTCTGTTCGTGGGATTGGAGCGCCATTCTTATGGTTACTGTATGCGAACGCGAGCCATTAGAGGAATGGTAGAATGAACTGTTTTCCTCTATTAATGTTGAAGTTATGGATTTTTATGTAGTTTTCAGGGACATAATAAAACGTGGTCTTTTGTGCGCTTGGAGATAATTAGATTGTATAACCGTTGGTCTCATTATCTCCAAGCTGGGCGGGTACTAATTCAAATAATACACTGTATTGTGATTGGATATTTGTCTGTACTGTACCTGTATTCCATCAGGTCCACAGGGGGCTGTCCTTGGACTTGAAGAATCACATAAATTGCCATGCTATGTGCCAGTAAAGCCAGTTCGTTTTGACCCTCAACTTGCAGCCTCGACTCATGTTGTAGGGATCCGGGATATTGATGCTCATATCGTGCTTGGGGATATTCTACACTTGCAGATTACTACCAAAAGACCTCGGTTCGACTCTCTGCAGCGGGAACCAGGACATCCAAGCGATCAACCCTCCTGCTAGACTGGGGGCAATCGTAACAACAATTTCCCCAGAAATTGTAGCTTTTCTAGTTATGCTATTTGCCTTTTTATTTGATTGATTCATTGATGTTTTATTACTTTTTGTGTCCCTTGGCTTCAGGGCAAAGACATTGTGCTGCCTGGACGAAGGGTGAAATGTTGCCCACCCTCCCCCAGTTGGTGCTGCGCCTCTCCGACATAATCTGACGAGGACATAATGCACATGCGTGGCAAGCACCGCAAGAGCATTAGGCCCTCCCCATAGTAAAGCATTGTCTAAATGCTTTCCTATGGGGATTTAATAATGCTGGATGCTGTTTTTGAATGACCAGCATTTATGATTTGCCATTTGGAATTTATAGGTTTATTGATGATAGGTTTGTGTTACTATAGTGTGAGTGTTTGTACAGAGTAGATTCCATCACTATGTGTATAGTGGATGTTGTATTTGTATGGCAGGTACTGTGTGTGTGTGTGTTTGTGTAGGGGAGGTAGTATGTTTTTGCTGGGGATACAGTGAGTACGTAATGAATATACTGTGTATGCTCATGAAGTAGGTGTGTGTTTGAGATGAATAATGAGATAGGGGATGTACTGTGTGAAGGGAATGTATTGTGTGTATGTGCTGGTGATGTAGTGTTGATGTGAGTACTTTTAAATGCAGCGTGTATGCTAGGAATGTAGTTTGTATGTGTGTTTGTGCTGGAGATGCAGTGTCTGTGTTTGTGCTTGATTGAAGTGTGTATCTGTGTGTGCTGGGGGTGCTATGTGTGTTTGTGTGTGCTGGGGTGTTTGAGTGCAGTGTGTCTATGATCGTGCTGGGATTGGCTTACTATATGTGCAACACAATGTGCACATGAAACTTACTCTTACCCTGCTCCTCACATCCCCATCGCTGCTGCCTGACTCCTGTCTGCCGGGGTTCAGCTCCTGCATTAGGGAGCTCCATGTCCTGCAGTATGTCAGACATGGAGGGGGATTCTACCGCTCTGCCCGTCCTACAGCAAAGTGAGCACCGAGGTTCCGGCTCGCACTGCAGGTAATGCACCAGAACTTTAGTGCTGAACCTTCCAACAACCCTGAGTGCCCGGGAAACCCCTCCACCTTCCTCATGATGCCCCTGACATTAGATATTAGAATTTGGGGTGGCCATACTTCCTGCCTTGGGGAGCGGCTGATCGGGGAAAGCCAAGGCTTTCCCCAAATGGTTAATATTCTTTTAGATAATGACAGGAGCGGCAAAATACCGCCACTGTCAGAGTGCCGCCTGGAGTCATGACTCCACCGCAGTCAATAGACAGGCCGGCCTTGCTTTTTTTTCCCACCCTGTCTGCCACTTGTCCTCCAGGTTTCTAATTTTAATTCTGTCATCTTCCTCTCCCTGTGCTTTGCCCTCTCAGGCTTGAGCCTTCTGGCTCTACTGGTTTGTTATTCAGTGCTGATTTCTTCATATTGGACTGTCTGGTTTTAGGTGTTGTTAGGGGTACTTCAGGTGCTTCGGTTGTGGGGCGCTCTGTGCTTTCTTGCTAGCAGGCCCACAGGTGCATGCCTCACTGGCCATTGGGCAAATATGGCGGCCATCTTGAATCTTGCATAGATTCACTATAGAACACCATCTATTACTTTCAAGTTATTTTTTTCTGGGACATTTTTTCTGCTATATCCTGCATGCGAAAAACTGTATATATTAAATTGCCTGTGAAGATTTATGCATGCCACAAGGTTGTTACCGTACCACAGAAGCTCGGAAGAGTTGTGCTAAGTTATACTGTGTCCTCTATGAAACTTGTGCAGGGTTGACTGCCCATGATTTAAATTGTCTGCCCTACTGGGGCAATACATTGATTGGTATGACTCCCATAAATTCCTGATACCTTACCCAGTACAGTGATTTTTCTGAGCTGTGTATCAGGGATATTACTGTATTACAGCTCCACTGTACAACCAGGATTGTAGAATGTGAGGGTGACCTCCTCTGCTATACCTTTCCCACCTAGCTGGGAACCTACAGGAGTGACCACCCTTTTTAAATGATATTGTCTCCCATTGACTAAAAGGAAATCCCCTTTAGTATTTATCGAACCACTTGTATCGGTTGTTTTAGAGCGTGCCCCCCTCTCTTCTCTGGCACTCCCACTTAATTGCTCCACTAGGCAGTGGATGCCTGTCTTCGCTGTGTGAGACCCAGTTGTAAAAGGAGCCTGACACCCTGTGCTTTCTCACATGTCTTGCACCCTCTGACTACTTATCTCTTATAGAAAGGACGCTCCAACACCCTGAGCATGGACAACTCACCTCAACCATTCAGGACGCTGTTGCTGTAGCAGCTACAGTGGACAAGGCACTTTCAAAGGTCACATGCCGGTGGAATCTGCTCGTCAAGGAGTGACTATGCT